CCCCCCCGCCCTCCAGCATTACATTGATAGGTGCATTATGAGTGCAGCAAATGCGGCACAGAAATACAAAGTAACCTGATTTGATTTCAACTAGAAAAGTAAATACCATCAGTTACGTCGACTTTTCAAATTGAGAAAATAGGAGTGAATAAGTGTGATCTTACATTTTCCCGTTTTCTCAGGTAAGTTTTAAAATGAGATCATTTCTGTACCCCTCTTTCTTGTAAACTGGCCCTTAACAAATTATTATAGAAGGAGGTACATGGGGTCCTTACTGGTCACTTCCTAGAATAAACCTTGTTACACCCATCCTATCTCAGATGTGACCTTAAATTCTACATTGTATACCCTCTTTTGGACCAGACCATTGCAGCACTTACACTCTGTTACACGTTGTTGCTTCGGTCTCTGACAACATTAATTTTAGGCATTTTTTTGGACATTGGAAAATTTTAGTCGGACATAAGCCCACTGTTATTTCCAGCTCTGCTTTGGTGCTGCACTTGCCTGTAAGGCGTCTTTCCAGGCCTTCTCGGTCAATGCACTTCAGTGATGTATCTGAGATAAACAGCCGGGGTGACCCAAAATGCATTGGCCATGAATAATGAGGCCTAGGGACTAGGAAGTGCTGCACATTGTAACATGGCTTTAATTTGTGTAAGGAAGTTCCCCCAGGAAAGGGAGTGCCATGCAGACATATTTCCAGATTTCATTATTTCGTAGTCCAATAGAGTAGTTAAATTCTTACAAGTTCTAGTCAAGACAAAATTTCAGAACATTCAGGTACAGAAAAATTTCTTGGTTCTGAATCGATCAAAAACATTTTAAGAAACACTTTTTTTTTCTACAACAGAACACTTTCCTGCTATTAAGTTTTGAGCAATTGCACTTGTGGTTATTTACATCATTTGATTTACATGTAGCAAAGAGGTGATAAGTAATAAAAAATTACTATAAATAAGTCCAGGAGATCCCCTTTGTTCAACTTACAAAATTATTACAATTTCTATAAATTTATTACATTGAGAGGGAATGTCATAGATGGTTGGCATTATTTGGAAACACAGTTTCTTCCTCATCGTCACCTCCCAAGTGATGCATAAGGATTGCTTCTGATTCATCATTCAGTGGAGCATGAGGTTTCCTTGCTCTTGGCACACCATTTGTCTGAGAAAACTTTAGGATGTCCTTTAAACTAAAGTGAACATCTTTAAATGCATGCAACAAAAACACGCCAAATACTATGGTCAAAAATCCACAGATTACTCCAATAGTGTCTTTTGAGTTCATCACTTCCCATTCTCGGAACAAAATGGCTGATGCGATAATTGTTAGCGTCGTGAACATAACATAATAGATTGGAGTGACCAGTGAAGTATTAAAGATATCAAGAGCTTTGTTTAGGTAGTTCATCTGTGTCATGACGCATGCCAATACAGCTCCTAATAACCCCCAAGCAACAGGATTTGCCAACTGGCTGTGTCCACTGACAGTCTGTTTTATTACTATTCCAAGGCCTTTACATCCCATGACAGACAACGAGCCAATCAGAGAACAGATTGCAATGTAAACCAGAATGTTTGTTTTTCCATGGCGTGGTCCATAATAGAAGATTAACACAAATGCAAGTGCTATAACAAGGATACTGTATGTCACAAAACCTGAAAACATGAAAGAAAACATAAATTTATAAATAGAAGCTCTTGTAAGTTGACAATACACGTAAATGTCCACATTCCATAATAATTTTTTTTTTTTTAGCTACTCCTGTAAGCCTCTGCAGACTACTTTTCAGCAATTAACAATTAACCCGGTAGATTATTTCTGTTTTCTGTGATTTAACACAAGCAATAGTCCTAAGTACACCTGATTGACAGTATATGTGGGCCAGGTGTACTAACCACGGCTTTTACAGGTAATGGACAGAAGTGTGCCTGAAATAGCTAATTCTACCTCTTTGAGTAGAAAAAATACATCAGGATACTGGTATATTCAATGGCAGCCCTTTACGTCCCTCACGACATTGGAAAGTGTGGACACGCTACATTAAGTGGACATTGGGTAAAGTGAGATGTCTCAAATCATTCTTCCTATGACTTGTTACCTGTATCTTTACTAAAATGTAGTGCTCTGATTGCAAATTACATGTAGCAGATGATTCAATAGCTGTTAATTTGCTTAATAAAAATGCAAAATTCAACATAATATATTCTTGCAAGATTCTTGCTCAATGATAGACAAAAGAGATATTAAATAACCTGGAGATCCAAGCTTTGGCTCCAGTACTTCCATACTTGTAACCTCTTCTTCCTGTGGTGCATGTATGACCAGAACAGTGGAACCAATAATTGATAAAATACAACCTATTTTCCCATGGAGGTTTTGTTTCTCGTTCAAGAAATATGATGCCAACATTGCACTAGGAATAGAAATAAAAAAAGTTCAAGAAAAGGTAGGAAAACAAACACAGCAAACCAAATTATAGCAATTAAAATCTGCAGGTCTTTCAAGTACTCTAAAACATACAATGTTTGTAGAGTTCAACCATTTACCAGGGCTAGAAGTGAAGCTCTTGTTAAATATTTATAGTTTAACCAAGGCTAAAAGTGAAGCTCTCATTAATATTTATAGTTTACACAAACAAAACATAAAATCGTGTAATGCTAAGCGGCAACAAAACAAAAAAATTTATCTAATTAGCAGAGAAACAACTTTGCATGTGCAGCACACTATTTTTGTACATTTCTTTGCCATCGTTTTGCATGACTACCACGTGAAACCTCCAAAAACTTCCTAGTTACATGTTTTATGGAGGACTGATGTTGTATGTGTTCCCGTTGACCTTTTTCTTGCTGCCTCTCATTTTCACCTTGGTGGATGCTAGTTCTCATTTTCTCACTGCCTCTATAAAATTTTCATGTTTTTCTTCCAACAAAATCGGTCTCCTTTGCTTTTTATCTCTCTACTCTTTAAAATTGTAAAACAATGATTTTTATGTATTATTTTTAAAGTGTGGACACCGCCTTACATTGTGTGGTTCCAGAAAATATCCATACCCCTCCCACAGAAGATCATTGGAAATTCCGAGGGGGAATTCTCTGTGGTGCCATCTACATTATTTTTTGCAAGAAGTCTTTACTGCGTCTACAGCCTGATCAGGAACGAATTTTAGAATAAAGATTTCTTACTAAAAACTGATAATTTTTCATATTATAATGCCTCAGCTGAAAAAACATTTTAGGTAAGTGGCCGCTTGTTTTAAGCAACACTCAAGGGAATGGCCCATTGCAATAGCCCAGCATTGAAAAAATCTAAATGACCTCTTCATGAGCATGAAACATCACTTACTGGTAATCTGTGTGGTTCATGTTAAACAACAAATTGAGCATTTAAAAAAAATACTACATAGCTTAATCACAAGAGGCACTATTGACTTCCTGTTTCTTTCAACTCACCTTACTAAAACACTAAGAGCACCTAGTGGAGTAACAAGTATGGCTGGTGCAAAGGCGTATGCTGTAAAGTTTGCAATTTCACCAACTATCACTATAAAAACAATACACTGTGTGTTAGTATAGAGAATGGCAAATTGTAAGACCTTAAATCTTTCAACCATAGAAGGGGTGTTACGAATTAAATCAGTTGCCTATTGCAACGTGTCCCCTAAATTCCCTTAGGGGTAGCACAAGACCAAAGCCAAACATTACTTAAAATCAAAGAATAATTCATAATCATGATTTAAATTATTTCTCGATAAATTATCGTAATAAGTAACTAGTTATATATTGATATTTTCCTCCACACTTTCTTAATAATAATAATAACTAATAACTTTATTTCTATAGCGCTCTTATCCTATGTTCAAGGGGCTGATGTAAACTGATGTAAAGTCAAAACCTGCTCTCAAGTGAATGTGATAAGGTTAACCTTGTGTTTCCTTTTTTAGATGTATTATATTTATCACTTTTCTACACCCTTATTACACTTGTATGTAAGGAATGGGGCAGACACTTTTGGAATTGACTGATACATAAGAGAATCCCTCTGGAGTTCACTTGTCATCACTTTTTTTTTTGTCAGTGTTTCAAATTCTATATAAACTAACTCAAGTGTCTACCTTCTGCTAAGCCTGGCCCTTGTCTACCTCTCTTAATAGTTTGATAAGATTTAAGACCTCTGTTCATCCACTTGTGGTAAAATAAAATAATAACCTCTAACTATGGGAGGTAGTATCACTGAGTGGTTTAATGCACTGATGTAAACTCAAAACCTGCTCTTGGCACTAACTGGGGTTATTCCTGGCAGTAATGTATCTGGCAAACTCTACAACATACCAAGGCTCTGCTCTAACGGCGCCTGGTCGCCTAAGGCAACTAACATTTAGCTTTGGGTGACTTAAACAAAATTCCCAGTCGCCCAGCCAGGCACTCTTGCTTTTAGTGCAGTGTTCAGTTAAGCGGGCAGAAAAATCAAACGTTACATACTAGTGTTGGCTTGTTGAGTCAGAGTTTACTAAAGCCTACAGAAAATGTTTTTACGAATGTCGTACGAAAAAGACGGGCATGCTTCGATGTTCAAAGGTCGTTCTGCATGATTTCACATGTAACATAATCCATCACTTTGAAAGTGACAAGCGGCATGGATTTCGATTTGTACTGCTCCTTAAAATCAATCACGTCGCTTTAAATATAACTATTAATATGCTACCTAATGCTCTTGAGGCCAAGTTGACCGCAGACAAAGCAAAGCTGAACTATGATCCCTTGTTTTTTAGCCGATCCACGAATAAGCTGTAATCTTGCCTATTAAATTATCCAAACTCACAATGTCATACAACACAATGATTTTTTATGGCTTGTGCAAGCCCTGAGACACATCACAAGAAATCAAAGCCAGAGGCCTTCTTAGGAGGTGGGTGCATATATCCCTGGTCTAAATTTCAAAAGCAGTCCTTTCACGTATGGAGGAGGAAGCCATGTTGCTGTCAGCATTGTGTTTGTGACTATCATCGTTGCCATCGCAGTTGAAACCCATCTTCATGTCGTTTTTCGCCATTTCATCTGTTTTATGTCACTAATTCAAGGATATGTCACTTATCAGAATTTAACTCGAACAAGGCCTCAAGCTAGGGCTCGAATTCCACACCCCCCCCCCCTGAATACCATCATTAGGGAGCTTAACCCCTTCCCTACCAAGGACATATACATACATCCTCCGAGTGCTCACTCAGTGACCAAGGACATATATATACGTCCTCATACAAATGAGATCAGCAAGAGTCTGGTTCTTCGAGTTGGCTTGAAGAAATTAACTCTGGTCGTTGAGAAAGTCTGGCACTCAATTTATAAAAGGGTCCTGTCCACATATATTCACTTTGCAGGGCTACTGATATTTCGCGCGGTCGTGGACCGGCGGAATTCAGGTATTTCCGCAAAATCCTGTGAAATTACCAAAAAAAAGCGTAATAACGCGAAATACGCCAGATATATTTCCAAATACATGTCGGCAAAACATATTTAATACTTATCTTGGCTATTAGACCTGTTCTATTCACCCCAAACATCCAAATTTATCTTGAAACTTTGTCACTCCAACGAGTAAACAACCTCCCAAAACTACCAGGCATTCTTAGATGAACGTTGCGAAAAACTGAGCACTAACCATAATGTTAATAGCTTTCGCATTCTCTCATTTCTCGAGTGAACTGTTGTTGAAAGAGGAAATGATAATCCCTGTAAAAAAACGCTACACAACGCTGGTCATATCGACGCAAAATTGATCGATTTTAGCGAAATTTGCCAAAAAAAATCCAGCAAAATCGGCTGTTTTTTACTGATTGTTTCTTCGCGAAGTTTCCCCCTGAAATCTCCCGTGAAATCGACCGATTTTCCTAAGAATTTACCCCTGAAAATCCTTCGAAATTTGACTTTTTTCCGCTAAAATCCTGCAAAATCAGCCAATATTTCTGCAATTTTGACTTTTCTCCTGGGAAAATCCCACGAAATTGGCCGATTTTTCCGCGAATTTGTCCCTGAAAATCCCATGAAATTTTGTTTTTTTTTTCCTCGAAATATCAGAAGCCCTGACTTTGCTATTATTGTGTTGCTCAGTATTTTTTCCAAAATGATGGCTAAGCCACAGCAACAAAGAATGACCAGAGAAGCACCAGTTGAAATTTTCGCTGATGGGGACTCTGGCGTAAGCGACTTTAACGGCGAAAGTGATTGGAAAGAGGAAAGCCGCTCTCTGTAAGTTTTTTTTTTCAGTGTAATGAGAGTTGCCTTCACACTTCAAAAAAAAACTGAGCATCATTTGCCACTAAATTTAACCAAATGAGCCTTTTAAGAACAGTTATGACATCCTGCTTTCCATACAATTCTTAGTAAAATGCTGTATTATATACATTTTACCCACAGTAATGACACAGCATTTATGAATAAAATCACTCATCTGTACACGTTTTTCCATGTTTAACCCTGTCTTGGCACACGTTAATAATTTTCAGGATATATTTTGCATAGTACTTAATTTTTTATCTCAGTTAATTTTCGTTTTTCTTTTGTTCCAACTTCATTAGTATACATTACCATACCACAAAACAAAAGAAAAACAAGAATTACCTGAGATAAAAAATTAACCACAACATCCAGGTTTTGTTTCTTTTGACAATAAAAATCTTCAAAGATGATGTAAATTTGTTGGTGAACATGACTTTCCCCATACAAAACTCTTAACAGATATCAAGTTCAATGTCTGAGTCACAGCAGAGACCCGAAATTTGTGACGTCAATGGTGCAAAGTGCTATTGCCAACATTTGACGAACTGAAAGAGATGGAATAAGTATGATAAAGTTTGAAGCAGCGCAACTTCACGTTGTAAGTGACGTTTTTGTTGCTGTCATTGTTGCTTAAGTTCCCTAATATCAAATTCACCCCCACTCCCCCTCCTGGGAAGACAAAGTTGTCAAAATATGCCTGGGGTATGCACGCCTGGAGGGAGAAGGGAGGAAAGTTGAAGCTTTAATTTCATATATAACCCCACGTTAAAGTCCTCAGCAGAGCTGTCCATCCCCCACATCTTCAAATATTGAGAATTGATAGGGAAGGGATGATAGATGACATCATATCTTAGGGCACATGATGTCATTTGTGCGAAAAAACTTGAGGACTCTAATCGACGTAATACCCCATACAACAGTTCATATATATATAAAGCCACATAATTGCTTAAATTACAATGGCATGCCGCAGATTATGAGAAAACGTTCCATAATAATAAATATGTGGTTCAAACAATGCAAAATATTTAAAATTTTATGGTCGGAAAGTCAAGTCTACAGGAATTGGCAAACTTGGGCGATTATCCGGGAGATTTCGTACTCTAATCTGAAGACCGGGATATACGGCCAAAATCTGGAGTTTCCCGGATTATCCAGGAGAGTTCACAGCGCTGCTCCTCAGTCACGCTTGGATTATGGCTGTTTGTCTTTGGCCAGTAGGATAATTTACTACTTGTTATGTTTGCTTATATAGTTTATGTCCTTGTGTATATATGTGCCAGAATTTATACTACTCGGTCACTGACTAGTTATTGTGTCACCTCTGAAAGAATTTTTTTTCACCGACTTGAATACTTTCTCCATAAACTCGATTTGTGAAGCAAATACAGAAGTTTTAATCGGAAATACCTATGCTCAATATCACAGTGAACGCGTATTAAAATCTTATCCACGCGTTTTATGAAAGAAAATGACATAGGAATTCTTGACGAGAAAATTTTGTTACACATAAGTAATAGAGGTCTACAACTTCACACTTTAGAGGATAGAGAGTCGATTACACGGTTTCTCCAGAGACGAAGAAGTTGCAGCTGCAGCAGAAAGATGAATTACTAGTAAGCTGTTCGAGAATATTTAAACTCAAAACTTACTCGTTATCATGCCAGACCACCACAGCCATTCTCTCAGATAAGCATAACCTCCTTGACCTAAAAATAAGGAGAAAATTATCATACATGGGATCTAAATAAGTCTTAGTCACTTTCCGTTGCGTTCATCAAAGGTTGGCTCACGGTCGCATTATATTTCTAGCTTTTAAAAATTAATGTTTTTCATCCAGCAAAACGAAAGCATCCGCGATCGCTGTGTCACCGCAAACTACTAAACCACGCTGTTCACTTTTTTGTTTACCTGCTCTCGTTCCTGAACTTCTTGTAACCTTGAGCAGTCCCTTCTTCTTGATGATAAAACTACTTCCGATGAAAACGCTAGAACTAATGGCGAGACCAAGACCGGTGTAAAAACTACTGTTATCGACTTCATTACTTGAATTGGTCCCAAACGTTGATATAACTAAAGAGACAAAGAAGTGTCAGTGGTTGTATTAGAGAAGAGAAGAGAACGATTCGAAGGAAAGCTTACTCGAAGCCGTGGTCGTGGAAATATTTCCATCACCGGACGCCATATTACTTTCCCGCAAAAAGAAGTTTTGTGACTTCTATATAGAGACACTAGGGTTCAGGACTATTCTGCCCCATTTCGTCATATGGTGGACTGGGGAGGGTAATTTGAGACCAAAAATAAATATCTTTTTCAAATAAAAGTTTCTCTAATTAAGTCATTTTGCTCTTTCAAAAAATAGGCCTTAGATAAACATGTTCTTTTCATAATTATTAAAATAACCCTAATTTTTCGAAAATAATCCCCGGGGCTTATATTTCATTGAAAACAGTAACACGCGACAAACCATGCAGTGAAAACCGGATCTTGTGTAGACATGGATCAGAAAACAATCTTGAAAACCAATTAGAAAGCCAGTTCACTGATCCTTATGGCTCAAAGACTTGAAGAAAATAAAAGACAAATAAAACTCTTCGTTTTTACAGGGGCTATAAAGGGCCTATTTTCATGGGAGAAAAGTTTGTTTTGCAAACTGAAAGAAATATCAGGCAAATACATGTACACTTTACCATTATTTTTCTCTACGCGTTTCTTAGCCTTCTTTATACCGTAAGGATCAGTTTACTGTTTTTCTGCTTATGTTTTTGAAGGTACTTTGAGAGACCTTACAGAGATGCCAACCTCCAGAGATCGAAAATCTGGAGACTCTCTATTTTGCACTACACCCCCTCCCAAAGAATCTCAACAGCCTCACCAACCCCACAACCCCACCACCCCCACCCACAAATTGACCCAGCTGTCATGGCCTACGACATTAAATGAAGTATGCTATCAAAATTCCCTTTCATCATTGTAATGAAGAAATAATCTTTGTCAGTGACTTAATACGTGCAAACATGGCCCAGAAACTGTACAATGAATGAAAAAAATTCGAATTTTGAGGGGAAAATGGGCTAAATTTTAAACTAAAGAACAGAAATACTCAAAAGTCCATTTTATCCGGGAGATTTGGTAACCCGTACGGGAGAGCAGGAGATCAGTGCCCCATCCGGAAGTTTCCCAGATAATCCAGGCTCCGGTTGTTCAAACGTTGGATAGCGCTACCCACCGGATAAATCACTATCCAGCGGATAAGTATTATGGAAATCAATTACGCCATCCACTGGATAGTGTTTTATCCGGTTGATAGCGCTAACCAACGTTTGAACAACCGGAGCCAGGAGAGTTGGCATAAATGAACGAGGTCTTGCGTCCATCGAACGCAGGCGTCTTGAGGGAAGCCCTAGCGCCCTTCCCCTCGTTTGTGGAAGGTTTCTCTTTGTGATTAGTGGTGATCAATAAAGCTGGACCTTTTAATATACCTTTGGACATGGACACGTTTTCTTGCCAGCTGCGCATCGCTCGATCACGGATTACTTCACAAACGGCGGGAAATTGCAAAGAGGACGTCACGTCCAGCGCCCAAGGCAGCACTCGAACTTTTTAAATGAGTTTTCTGCTTCTTAGATCCGACCCTAGAGTTTTTCATTTAATTATTTTCCAGTACGTGACCACAACCTTTTAATTAAGGATAATGACATGTTTAAGTCTGCCGCTTGTGACCGTCTCAGTATTAAGAAAGGAGAGTGGTTTTAACTGTTATTCTACTCAAGTGCTTATTTCATTAATATTGGATGGACATTTTAATTTTTTTACTTTATAATAACGTTATTTATGGAATTTTTATCAGAATGTTATTATTTTTGTTAAACTGATGTATGTGATACAGTAATAATCTGCTTTATCCTTCAATAAAGTAGATGTAGATGTGGAATTCCATAACTTCAGTCTAGTTCACATCTTTATTGAAGTGATCAGTCAGTATCAGGCCGGATGAATTGTATTGCCGGGTTCGTGACCAATGTTCTTTGGCGCATAACCAGACTTAATACGAAACTCATATAGCGAAAAAACATGTTTTGGCAACGTAAATTTTATGATCTTTCGCGCAATCCTTGAATGGACGCCGGAATGATTCGTACTGATTGCAAACAGTTAGAAAATGTCATGGTGAAGTGGACATTCTCCACGGAATCCCCGCATAGGCGGCATTTTTCATCAGTTGCTTGTGATTTTGTTTTTCTGTTGTAGTAAACCTTGGTAGGTAATAGCTGTTGGTAAAAGCTCTTGTACTCCAGCGATGGTTTGGGGCATTCTTCCATGAAAAAAGCCACGCAAAGTACTCCTCTAGTTTAACTTTCTCGTCGTCCCATCTGTTGTTGATAAGCTTTCCTTGCCATCTCTCCTCAGATACCGTTGATTGTATCTCGTGCTGGCGGGGTTTGTAGATTGCCTGCTTTGCCTTCTTAAGCTTAGCGTCGACTTTTTTACCATCGGTGATAGCAGTTGGGTTAGGGAAGTTTAACCACAACTGTAGATCCAGCTCCTCTGCGTAATTCTTGGCATCTTTGATGATGGAGTGACGTCCATTCTGTACGATCTTACTGCTACCATCGTAGGGTCAGCGTTGCAATAATGCTTTACTGCTACTTTGATCTTAGTGTTCTTGTGTTCATTCTCCAAGGACTCGAGACCTCTTCCACCGAGCTTCCTAGACATGTAGCTGAGTATCGCTTTCGATCCCTTGGAGTGATTTCCTCCAATCTCCACGATGATTTTTCTTCCCTCTCGGTCAAGCTCGGGGCGGATTTAGAGGGAGGGTGGAGGGGGTGCCCCCCCCCCCCCCGAGATGACCTGCGGTTTACTAATACAACTGGTGTTCTGCCAAAAAAAAACTATGTGGTTTATTGGTGTTGAAGTAGAGCAAGAGGCGAGTGCACCCCCTCCTAAAAAAAATCCTGGATCCGCCCCTAAAGCTGTTGGATGTTTGCTATCGGCCAAGTTTGTGTCCACATCAAGTATGTAAGTACTGGTAAAGCGTACTGATTGGACGCCATTACCTTTGCATGATCTGACAATGGGCTAGACCAGATGATTGATAGCCTCTGCAAGTATGTCTTTGCTGCGGCTTCCAGTACTTGCTTATCCTCTTGCTTGGTGTTTTCGAAGACGCCTGAGAACTTATAGGTGTTATGTTGGTCCAGGCTCTTGGTAGGTTTCTTATTATTGATAGCTCTTGATAGGTTTATTATTATTATTATTATTATTTTTATTTTTTTTTATTATCTGTGAAAAAAATTAATTCTTATAGATGCAAGATTTGAAAAAAAAAAAGAATAAAAGTTGGAGATCGAAGTCTCGATCAGGAAGCCGTGAATGCTTAAGGGGACATAATAAAGGATTAAATTAACTGCAAAAACCGTGGACGAAGATCCTGGTAGTTGTAAACGTTGGATCTCTAAAAAAGAGATCTAATGAGCCAAAATATAAAGAACCAAAAACGAGAAGTCCAAAGACTGCTGTAAAGCTGATTCATAATAACGTGTATTGTTTTCTTACAACAATATTTCGGCTGGCCATACCAGCCTTCTTCAGGTTTACAGATGATACTTAACTTATGTAGCAATCGCAATATTATATAGATGGAGAACGTCGCAATAAAAATTGTTTAAAAGGGAGAGGCGGATTACAATAATTCGTCACGGCGGTTTAGGCCATGAGGTTCAAGAGTCATGGCCATGAGGTTCAGGAGTCATGGCCATGACTCTTGAACCTCATGGCCTAAACCACCGTGACTAATTATTGTAATCCATATCCTTAGTATTTTTCCTTTCCATTTTTCGTCATTTCTGCCTCTCCCTTTTAAACAGTTTTTATTGCGACATTCTCCATCTATATAATATTGTGATTGCTACATAAGTTCAGTAACATCGATCTGTAAACCTGAAGAAGGCTGGTATTTTAGCCAACCGAAATATTGCCAAATACAACAATACACGTTGTTATGAATCAGCTTTGCAGTAGTCTTTGGACTTCTCGTTTAAGGTGACATGCCTTCTCTGTACACAGGGGTTCGTTGTAGCTACTATCATCGCTAGACCCGTCTTCAGGCGTTTTTGATTTCAAACTCCACCGAAGTAGAAGGAAATCTCAGATTATCTCCTGATGCCGCACTCACACCTGATCTGATACCTGAGTCGGCGTTCGAAAATATAGTGCTCTTAAGCTAAAGAGGGTGTACGTTAGAGGTATTTGGAAGCTCTCTACAGGTGTGTGAAATGGTGTGTAGTTTTGTCTCTTTCTGCCGAAACTATAATGAATTAAAAATAGTAAGAAGGACGTACTGACTGTTTCACTCAAATCAGTGAAGTTTCTTGAAACAATCATTACGTTGCGCAGAATGGTTACCCATTCGACCACTATCAGCCTACTCGTCAATTTTCAGCATAGGATAGGTCAAGAGGGAAATGAGTTGAATTCGAAATTCAACATAATTCAAACGTGACCTGCCTTCACTAGTCAAATTTCCCCCGATTTTCAAACCTCCAAATACTTTACACCAATTTGCTTTTCCGCTAGTGGTGCGACAAATCGGCATTCCACTTTACAACAATTAAAAACTGGCCCATTTTATTATTATTATTATTATTATTATTATTATTATTATTTTGCGCCTGATTAAAATTTGTTTCGAAACTTTGTTCATTAGTGTTTCATCTTACAGGATGCATTTCGCTGACAAGAACAAAGACTTATAAGGTCTTATAAGTTGTTTTGTGAACCTCTGCCTGCATCTGCACGCATGCGCAGTTGCACCAATCTGTATTGAACACCCTGTCATGCTTCTCAGTTGCATAGAAATCAATTTATGACAATCATTCGAGTGCCAAATGTTTTTTCTCCTATAAATGGCCCTGCTACTTGCTCTGCCGTTATGTGCGTGTGTTTTTCCTCGCGTCGGAAGCGTGGTTTTGTAACCTCAACCGACCCCGCCCAATCAATACTGTTTCGCAACCATTAGTTAAGGCGCTCATTGAAGGTGTGGGCTCTAGGCATGACTCTCAGTTTAATCCAGTGAACGGG